CCTCCCACACTGCCTCCATCCTCCATCCTCCATCTTCCCACACTGCCTCCATCCTCCATCCTCCATCTTCCATCCTCCATCCTCCATCCTCCATCCTCCATCCTCCATCCTCCCACACTGCCTCCATCCTCCATCCTCCATCCTCCATCCTCCATCCTCCATCCTTCATCCTCCACACACTGCCTCCATTCGCAGGGAGGCGCCGCCTCTGGGACTCGCCCGGGCTTCTTCTCCGGGAGACCCTCACAGAGGCTCCCCGGGTGGGAGGGGATAGCAGGTAGGCTTCTGTGGAGTCGGCTGAGGACGGCCCCTGTGAGCTTCAAGGACTTCCTCGGGAACGGCACAGTGTGCCTCCTTTCCTGCCCTGCCAGGGCCCCGGCCGCGCCACCCTCCGGGGACAGCAGGGCTAGGTGATTCCAGCTCCGCCACGTACCGCCCTGGCTCCCTGCAGCTGCTATGACAATATGCCACAGACTGGGCAGCTTAAAAAGGAAAGTTTCTCAAGCCCCCCAGAGGTGGAAGCCAAGAGTGCCGCCCCAGCAGGTGCCTGTCCTCTCAGAAAGGACCAGCCACCCAAGGGAGGGGTCTTTTCCTTTCCTCTCTCTCTCTTAGAAACAGCTTTAAAGGATGTTTTTATTTATTTGTATGTTTAGCACACCTGTGGAGGACAGCCGGGAGGAGTCCCCAGTCGCCTCCCACCCCTTGGGGCCCAGAGACTGAGCTCAGGCTCCAGGCGTTGTCACAAGCCTGCTTTACCCTGGCCTGTCTGTTGGTTTGTTTGCTTCTCCTTTAATCAAGGGCTTGAGCAACCCCAGGTCTTCTGTGCGCTGAGCAGTGAGCCACACTTCCTGTCACATTCCAGGCCGGTGCTCCATCCTCACGCTGTACCTCCAGCTCTGTTTAAAAACAAAACATCAACAACAACAACAACATTTCAAAACCTTTCAGTCTGAGACAGGGTCCCGTCAAGTCTCCCCGGCTGGCCTTGAGTTTAACCTCAGCTTCAATCAACCCTGACGTCACCGACGGCGACAGCGGACCCTGCTGAAACCAGGGTCTCATCCCGCTCAGGGAAGCTGGAGCTGAGGACACCGGAGCCAGCTGACGCTCGGTTCCATCTGCTGTGAGTTCGGGCAGCACAGACATCCCAGCCCCGCCCCCACGGTGTCCAGAACCGCGTTTCGAAGTTTCCTTCAGGTCATGACTCTGCATCCCGCAACAGAGAAGACTGATGTGGGCTGTCCAGGAAGTGTACCAACCCTCCCTCCCCCCATCTGTGTGTGTCTGTGATGCACACTCGGGTTGGGGGCACACACCTGTGCACGCGTGTCCACAGGCCAGTGGAGGAAGTCAGGCCCCTCGAGACAGGGCTCTCACTGAGCCTGAGGCTGGAAGAGGTGGCCATCCTCCTGCCTCTGCCTGTCACCATCCCGGGTTTTCACGTGGTTGCTAGGGATCAAACCTCACGTCGCTGGGCTTGCACAGAAGCCGTCCCTACCCCTGAGCCACCCCCCAGCCAGCCCAGGCCGTTTCCTGCTGCGTCACACACTGGGAGGGACCCAGACGAATAGACACTGTCACTTTCTGTAGCCACCCATGTGTGTGACAAGCTTGTCTGTTTTCAGACAGGGCCCTTCCACCCCAGCTGTCCTGGTACCTGTGCAGCTGAGGCTTGACTCAGACTCACAGCAAGCCTCCTGCCTCAGTCCCCTGAGTGCTGAGAGCACAGATGTACTGCAAAAGCACCGGGAGGTGATTCTGGGCCTCCGCCCTTCATTTCCTCCCCTGAGTGTTTTCCAGTGGCAGCTACAGCCAGGCGCTAACGGGAGGACTGGGATGTGAATTCCGGTCCTCGCTTCCAGAACCAGCCTCTGAGGACTCTCCGTCCTCTCCTCTGGCATTTTCTGTTTTGAGTCCGAGTCTCTCCCGGGGACGGGGCGTGGTGACAGCTTCGGCTGTGTGTTTGGAGGAGCCCCGAGTCTTCCTGCCTGCAGAGACACACAGAGACGTCCTGGCTGTTTTGCGTGGGTTCTAGGGATCCAATTCCGATCCCGTGGCATTCACACCAAGCACTGACAGGATCTGCCCAGTCCCAGCTTTCCTCTTCACCGCACGCCATCCCTGGACCCAAACGCAGGCCAGCGCCATGCACGTAACTGTATGTGCTCTGTGGGTGTTGAACTTGCAAGGTGACCTCGGAGGCCGAAAGAGAAGGTCAGCTAGCCTCTCTTGGGCCGGAGGTAGAGCAGCTGTGGGTTGCCCAGCGTGGCTGCTGGGAAATGAGCTCCAGCCCTCCCACTGAGCCCTCTCTCCAGCCCCTCTTTCTCTCTTCTTGTCTTTTAAAACACACATCTCCCTAGTTAGCTTAGGCTGGCCTTGAACTTTGGATCCTCCTGCTTCGGCCCCAGAGTGCTGGGACCACAGGTGTGCACCACCACTTCAGCTGGAGCCAAGATTCACAACCGGGGCTTTCTTCAGCCGAGGAAGCCTTTGTCCGGCCATCCAGAGCTCCCAGAATGCTTTAGTCCATCAAGAGTTCAACAGCTGAGAGGCAAACTGCTGTCGAAAACCAATAAACCCGGCCTGGGCTGCAGCTCAGCTCAGAGGGCTTCGACAAGCTGCTGGGAG